CTCTCTTCTAATGTTTCTTCTGCCCATTCTGTCTCCTCTCCTTCAGAATTCCAGTTGCTTAGACCAACTCACTGGATCTTTCAAGGCTTTCTTCAATTCATAATATGCAAATATCTTTTCCCATTCTGAAGTTTGTCCATTTGCTTTGGTTGTTGTCTCCTTAGCTGTACAGAAGCTTTTCAGATTAATTAAGTCCCATTTATTTATTTTTGTTGTTGCAGTGGCCACAGAAGTCTTCTTCATAAAGTCTTTCCCCACGCTGACACCTTCAAGTGTTTTCTCCACACTTTCTTCCAGGATTTTTATTTCATGCCTTAGATTTAAATTTTTTATCCATCTTGAATCAATTTTTGTAAGTTGTGAAATGTATGAGTCCGGTTTCAGTCTTTTACATGTGGTTATCCAGCTCTCCCAGTACCATTTGTTGAATAGGAATAGTATTTAGTACAAAACTATAGTAATAGAATATTAAAAAACTGTTCTTTTTCCCAGTGTATGTTCTTGTTTGGTTTATCAAAGATCAGGTGGCTATAAGATGTTAGTTTCATCTCATGGTTTTCTATTCATTTACAAATGTCTCTGTCTATTTTTATGCCAATACCATGCTATTTTGATCACTATGGGCTTGTAGTAGAGCCTGAAGTCTGGTAGGCTGATGCCCCCAGTCATGTTTTTATTACTAAGAATTGCCTTGGCTATACAGGGTTTTATCTGGTTCCATACAAAATGAAGAACTATTTTTTCCAAATCTTGAAAACATGTTGGTATTTTAATGGGGATTACATTGAACCTGTAGATTGCTTTGAGAAGGGTCTGTTGATTTTATGTGTTTTTTTTTTTTTTTTTTTTTTTTTTTGCTGTTCCTAATTCACGTTATCTTAGCTCCTTATATTTCTGGTTATTTTTTATTTTGTTGCAAATGATATATTTGCAGAATCATTTATAGAAATACTTGGAGGCCCAAGTTTATGTCATTCTTCTGCAGGGATAATATGTTTTGCTTCTTTTAGGCACCTAGGAGTAATAAAATTCCAAATTAGATCTTCTAGTTTTAAGCTCTGAAGGAAGTCAAAGCTGAACTCCGGTCCCTGTGAAGGACTGCCTACTTCTGGTTCACTCTGATTCCTAGTGGCAGGATCCCAGAGAGAGGCATTTACCCATGGCTCCTCTTTTTCAGGCCCTAATCCCCACCCTGCCCACTGGTCTCCTGAAGCTGTCAAAACTACTACTCAGACCATGCCCCCCTCCTCTGGAGCTGGCAGATCCCCTCAGGAACAAGGCAGTGTCAAACCTGGGCTCTCCTCTGTGGCTTCCTCCTCTCCTGGATTCTGGCCCAGCGATTCTCCCTTGTCTTGTTAGCTCTCCAGTGTCTTCAGGCAAACGTTTTATGTGTTGTGTTTACCTCTTTTAGTAAGCCCGAGTGTCAGTTTCCATTCCCTAGTCTGTCATTACTCAAACTGAAAGCCCTAATATTCTCATTTCATAAATTAGCTAATTAAGTCCAGAGAGACTTTATCATTGCTAGTTGATGGCAAAACAACTAATACCCAACTATCCTAATTCTGCACAATGCTTATTCTATTATCCTAGTACTAAAACGTGCGGGTAGATGTAGTAGCATTTTGATATTACCGTCCTCCATGCCACTTTTCTTAGTTTTTCACCAAGCAATCAAAGGCACTCTATCCAAGGAAACCCATAGAAAATCTTCAAGGAAACAGTGCTATAGCCCTCACTTCTCCATCCTATTAAGTTTATTTTAAATTTACTGTTATTAATGTAAACCCTTTTTAAGTGAGCTACAACTACCTCCCCAATATAAATGCTCTATATAAAAACCATTACCGATTTAGTATTTGACATTATTTTTTATAAAGTAGGATTCTGCTTGTGCTTTATAATAATATTGGTCTCCTGATTTTAATATATCAAAGTTTAGTATCTAATCCAAGGGCTGATATTCCAGAATAGGGAAAGAGATATCAGTTATCTATCAATTCACAACAAATCATTCTAAAATGTGGTGCTTGCTGGCACAATAGTTTATCATTTCTCCTGATTCACGGGGTTGACTGGGCAATTCTGCTGGACTCACAAAGCAGCTGCAGCCAGCTAGGCCAATGGACTAAGATGATCCCACTCAGTGCTGTGTGAGACGACTGGACACCTGGCTTCACATAGTCTTTAGTCTTGGGCTTCTTCGCACATGGGAAGAAGTGATCCCAGAGGGCAGAGCCTCTCGGGGAGGAGTCTCCAGAAGTAACCCTATATCATTTCTGCCACATTTTGTTGGTTAAAGCACTTCACAAAGCCAGTCCAGATTCAAGGATCCACCACTTCCTGGAAGATGCTGCAGAATATTGTTCATGTTTTCCATTCTCCCATAGATGACTAGATAAAAAAAAGCAGGTGTGCTGGGCACAATCGTGACCCCTACAGTGCAGTGCCAACTTTTTGGCATCAGCTGGGTGTCCTGTAGTTCAGTTCACTTCTGACATTGACTACCCTGAGTTAAAGAATAGGTTTCAAGCAAGACTGCTCTTGATTTTAGAAGCACCAGTTGCAAGTTGGATCCCCAGGACACTTGAAACTCTGTACAATTTGGGTACAAATGTGAAGGCTCTCATGAACTCCCTTTAAGTTCAGTAATTCACTAGTATGATTCAGATTACTCAGGAAAATGCTATACTTACACAGTTTAATTCTAAAGGAGTCAAATAAACAGCCAGACAAAGAGATATATAGGATGGCAAGGTCTAGAAGGCAGGAGGGCAGGAGCTTTGCTCCCTATGGAAATGGATTAGCATCATCCTCCCAGCACATTGGTACATCCACCAACCAGGAAGCTCCTCCTAGCCTCAGTGTCTTTAGTTTAGTTTTATTTTGTTTTTCATCAGAGTTTGATTATGCATGATTGATTAAATCATTGACCACATGATTAAACTAGATCTCCAGGCCTCCTGAGCTCCCCAGAGGTCAATCAGCTGAAAGCTCCAGCTGTCTGATCATAGCGAGGTTTTTTGGTGACCAGCTCCCATTTTAAGGTATCTAGGGGCCTGGCCTTGAGCCACCTCATTAGTATAGAAAAAACACTTCTGTAGCCAAAGAAATACCAAAGGCTTTTGAAGCTCTATGCTAGAAACCAGGGGAAAAGACTATATGTATATATATGTGTTTAAATATTATTATACCATAGCCACAGGGGATGCCTACACATGTGGATATGTTACAAGTGGGCCCAGTTTTATCATAAGAGTCTTTAGTGGGGAGAAAGGAGGCAGAAAAGTCAGAACCAGGGAGATGACATCATGAGAAAGACTTAACTGACCATAGCTGGCTTTGAAGATAGAAGGTGGCTGCAAGCCAAGGAATGTGGGCAGCCTGTAAAAGGTGGAAAATAAAAGAAAATGGGCCTTCTTCTGGGTCCTGCAGAAAGTAACAACCCTATTGACTGTGATTTTGGCCTAGTGAACCCCAGTTCAGACTTCCAACCTCCAGAAATGTAAGGTAATAAAATTGTGTTATTTGAAGCCGCTAAATCTGTGATAATCTATTATAGCCACAATAGGAAACTTAATACAGCAGGACTTAGGAAAAGGAAGAAATCATCCCTTGCTGGGCATTGTGGTAGGCGCCTGTAGTCCCAGCTACTCTGGAAGCTGAGGCAGGAGGATTGCTTGAGCCCTGGAGTTGGAAGTTGCTTTGAGCTGGACTGATGCCTTGGCACCCTAGCCTAGGCAACAAAGTGAGACTCTGACTCAAAAAAAAAAAAAAAAGAAAAGATAAAAGAAGAAATCAACATTACTTTTTCTCATCTAGCATAGCAGTTTTCAACCTGTGGGTCGTGACCCCTTTATAACAATGAAAATACATTCTGTATATCAGATATTTACATTATGATTCATACATAACAGTAGCAAAATTACAGTTGTGAATAGCAACAAAAATAAATTTGTGGTTGGGTCACCACAACCTGAGGGACTGTATTAAAGGATCACAGCTTTAGGAGGCATTGAGAAGGCTGAGAACCACTGCTCTAGCATGATAAATATCCAACTAGAGTTTCTTTTTTAGGTGTTGAGAACTGTTACTCTGTTTAAAATGCAAGTAAATTTACATTCTTCAAATCTCTCATTCGTAAATTATTACTTCTTTCTGCCTCTAGTCCTCAGTGGGCCTCACAACTGCCTGATTTAACTATAGAGGATTCTATATCTTAATTAAAGTGCATTTGTGTGTTGATAAATAACAGATTCAGAGAAGAGAAGAAACTTTCCGTTCTTATAAGTAGAATACATTTGACCTCTCTGATTCATCCAGTGATAATTTATTCTTTATCTTGTGTGTGCTAGGCTCCACACCAAGCATGGTATTATATTTAAAAGGAGCTATGATCTAATGCATGATACAAAACTGAGTTGGCACAGAGGGAGGAATTTGTAGCTGGACTCCTTCATAGAATCACTGCTACCTCCTTGTAACTTTTCTTCTTGCCCATGAAGTTTAATCTCTTTTTCAAAAGCACAAAATAATCCAATAATAATGATGATGGTGGTGATGATGATGATGTTTGGCACTAAAGCAGCACTAACTGTGTACCATAACCTTAGTGTTTTACATTCTACATCCCATCTGATCTTTCCTACCGTTGCTGCCTTTGTCTATTAAATCACTCCTTCAATTACTTTAGCCATGTTTTCATACATACAAAAAAACTCAGTGTTAAGTGTCTCAGTTATTTACTTCCTAGTTTTATCCCTTTTCTACTCTTCCTGATGAAGCCTAAAATATAATAAAACAAAAATTTAGCTGAATGCATGAGAACTTCTAACCTTGAATTGAAGAGAAAGAATGACTACCTTACTCACCGTGTATGCCTGAGAAATTAGAGGCCCTGAGCTTCACTTGACACAGTTAACACTGATTCCATGTCAGTGTCCCCAGTCTAGGAATTTTCTGCAGTGTATCTTATCATCTGCTGACTTATCATATTCCTTCAGGAACCATACTATGTACGTTGCATCAAACCCAATGACAAGAAGTCACCACAGATATTTGATGAGGAACGCTGCCGGCATCAAGTGGAGTATCTCGGGCTCCTGGAAAATGTGCGAGTGCGTCGGGCTGGATTTGCCTTCCGCCAGACTTACGAGAAATTTCTTCACAGGTGAGAACAGGCTCGGCAGAGAAGCCTAGCAGCTCACAGAGAATGATGGGCCTTCCCCACACTTGACAGCGCAGCCCAGCATCAGCGCATATTAGGCAATCTGTAAATATTTGTTGAGTGAGATTAAAAAAAAAGAGTTATGGAAACTACAAATATGAAAGATTTTCCCAGAATCAACTGGAGTCCCTGAGTTCATAGTTTATGGACCATGGAAAAAAGTTCAGTCTTTTTAAGGGAAATATGGTCATCATAGTACAGTAGACAGACATGGATTTGGAGTCACAGCGGGTTGCAATCCTGGCTCTGCCATCTATTTGCTGTTTGACTGTGGGCCAGAATTTAACTCCTTTGATACTGTCTTTGCATCTGTAAAGTGGGTATAATAATACTGCATAGGGCACTGTGAGGATTAAATTCACCTAAATAAAAAGCCTAGCTTCTTGGCACAGAATAGATAATTAATGCTGCTTATCATTACTGGTATTAGTAATTGTCATATTAATTAAATATTAAGGAGTTAAGTATAGAGGCCCTGATATCAGTCTACCTGTTATTTTTTTCTTTTCAGATTAACGCAAGGGTGTAGGTTATAGTGTTTGCATTTGTTAGGTAGAGTCCCTCTTATATTGTGTCACACACCCATCTTGGTGGGCCATATACCCTTACATTGTGCCCATTAAGTAGACACACTCCCTTCCCTCTCCCTCTTCCCATCTCCCCTGCTCTCCTTCCTCCTCCCCACATCTTGAATTGAATTGAGTTTTTCTCTTACTGTGAGCATGTATTAGTTCATCTCCTGGCTTCATGTTAGTATTGAGTACATTAGATGCTTGCTTTTCCATTCTTGTGATACTTTACTAAGGAGAATGTGTTTCAACTCCATCCAAGTTAATACAAAAGATGTAAAGATTCAAACCAGGTATCTTCAGTCTACCTAGTTTGAACCCTGGCTTCGACATGTTTTAGTTGAAAATCACATAACCTTGGGCAAATCACATAACCTTTCCATGTCTCATTTTCCTCATAATAAAATGAAAATAACAATAATAGGCTTAGCACTTGTGCTCAGCAGCTAGGGTGTCAGCCACATACACCACAGCTGCCCAGTATAAACCTGGCCCAGGCCAGCTAACCAACAATGACAACTACCAACAACAATAACAAAAAATAGCCGGGTGTTGTGGTGGACACCTGTAGTCCCAGCTACATGGGAGGCTGAGGCAAGAGAATCTCTTAAGCCCAAGAGTTTGAGGTTGCTGTGAGCTGTGACACAACTGCACTCTACTGAGGGTGACAAAGTGAGACTCTGTCTCAAAAAAAAGGGAAATAACAATAATAACTACCTTGAAGGGTTACTAGAGGATTAAATGAGATTACCTAAATATAAAACACTTAGAGTAGTTCCTACATACAATAATCACTTGATAAATATAAAATATGGTTGCTGTTATTAATTTATTGCTTATAGTGATAGTTGACAACTGGGAATCAGAAAAACACTTTAAATTTCATTTATTTATTTCTGGCTCAGCACCCATAGCACAGTGTTTACAGCACCAGCCATGTACACCACGGCTGGCAGGTTCAAACCCAGCCCAGGCCAGCTAAACAACAATGATAACTGCAACAAAAAATAGCCAGGCATTGTGGCAGGCACCTGTAGTCCCAGCTAGTGGGAGGCTAAGGCAAGACAATCGCCTAAGAGTTTGAAGTTGCTGTGAACTGTGATACCATGGCACTCTACCGAAGGTGACATAGTAAGACTCTGTCTCAAAAAGAATTTTTTTTCAGTTATTTCTTTTGTTTTATTGACAGATTGATTGAGGCAGGGTCTCACTCTGTCACCCTGGGCTAGAAGGCAATGGCATTAATCATAGGTCACTGTAATCTCAAACTCCTGGGCTCAAGTGATCCTCCTGCCTTGGCCTCCTGAGTAGCTAGGGCTACGGGCATGTGCCACCACACCCAGCATCTTTTCTGTTTTTTGTTTTGTTTTTTTTTTGTAGAGATGAGGTCTTGCTATGGCTTATGTATTTAAAAATACTTACTGAACATTTCCTATATTCAAGACTACAGATTCCACCCAAAAAAGGAATAAATAAATATATAAAATATAAATCAAAAAGATGAAGAAAAAAAACTTTAGATTGGTTGGTGAAAAAAAGAGTCTCTAAGGAGATAACAAAGACAGGAAGGAGCCAGCCACACAGGGATCAGGGAAGGTGGAGCAGAGGAGCAGCAGGGAAACAGCGATACCATAAGCAGCAAGCAGTACGTGTGGTGTGTTCGGTGCCCAGTGGGCTCCTGTGTGGTTGGACGATGCTGAGCAACAGGGCAATGGTGTGAGATGAGATGGGAGAAATGGGCAGGGGCCAGATCAGGTGTGATCAGATCATACCTTATAATCAGACAGAACCATTGGATTAGAGCTAAGTGTGATAAAAAACAAACAAACAAACAAACAAAAAACCCCTCACTGATGGATTTTAAGCATGGAGTGATGTAATCTTGTGGATGTCTTGAAGGGATCACTGTGGCTGCCATGTGACTAGAAAGCAGGCAGGCGTTTAGGGATGCTATTACAGGCGTCCAGGGAAGATGGTCAGATGGTAGTGCCTTCGAGTTATTGTAGACATAAGAGCCTTGCACAGATGCGGGATCATGTTGGGAGTGAAGTTAACAAGACCTGCTCATGGATTAGATGTGATGAAACTGGAGTAGGAAGGAATGAAGGATGACAAATTGTTTTTGTTTTTGTTTTGTTTTGTTTTGGAGACAGAGTCTTAGTCACCCTGGGGTGAGTACCGTGACATCATAGCTAAGAGCAACCTCAAACTATTGGGCTCAAGAGATCCTTTTGCCTCAGCCTCCCAACTAGCTGGGACTACAGGTGCCTGTCACAATGCCCAGCTATTTGGGGGGTGGGGTCTTAACTCTTGCTCAGGCTGATCATTAGCGTACAGATTCCATAGACATTCTCAGGCCTGGTAGAGAAGAGGAGGAAGTCCATGAGAATGTGTAGATCGTGGTCTGATGTGAAAGAGCCAGCAAGGAGAAGAGAAGCAGCAACAGGGAGGTGAAAGGAAAACCAGCAGAGGGTTATGGCACAGAAACGAAGAGAGGATGGCATTTCATATGGGCGCTATGTCAGTGGTTGCTGTGCAGTCAAGTAGGATAAAAGCAGAAACTTAACCATTAGATTGGGCAATGTAGAAGTCAAAGGAGAAGGAGTGGGCTGCAGCCTGACTTGAGCAGAATGGGAAGGTGAAGTGAGGAGGCAGGGGCCTGTGTATAGCAAGAGAATTTTGCTGTGTATGAGAGCAGAGAAAAATGGAGGCAGTAGCTGGAGTTGGGGTCAGGTCAGGAAATACTAGAAAATGTTTGCATGCAGGAAGGGATGATTCAGAGCAAAAAGAGAAGCCAGTGGCACAGGAGAGAGGGAGAGAATTTTAAAATAACATCCTGGCAAAGGCAAGAATGGATAGAAACCCAAAGACAAGTGGAAAGTTTGTCAGCTTTAGATAGCAGCAGGGATACTTCACCCACAGCAACAGGACACAAAGTGGTGAATATGAATTCTGATGCAAGATGTCTTGAAATTTTACTCATGGTAACGATGAAGATGCTGCTGTCTGATGGCTTCTGTTTTCTCACTGAAGTATGAGGCAAGGTCTGAGAATGAGGTTGGAAGAGGCAGTGGAGGAGTTTTGAGGGGAATGAGAGTACTCACATTGGAGAGTGGGAAAGCACAGGTTTATATAAGAGGATTGCTACCAGGAAGAGCTGAGTGCCTGTTGAAGATCCGAGGTTACAAATGTAGAGTGAAACCGCCCAGCATCATTGGGCTGTTTCCATAAGTGTTTAGCTACATGTGTATAGAAGTAAGAGATTGCACTACATGGAGACTCGTGAAATGAGTAAAACTTTACAGCATTATAGCCTGGAGAACTGGAATTTAATTTTATATTGATCCAAAGATTATGTGCAATATTGACCATTTTTCCTTGTTGAAATCACATAGTTCTTTAAACTTGGTTCTTCTTTCTTATGGAGGCTGTCCGGGAGGAATGTTTTCCTTTTTTTTTTTTTTTTTTTTGAGACGGAGCCTCAAGCTATCCCCCTGGGAAGAGTGCCATGGTATCATGCTCACAGCAACCTCCAACTCCTGGGCTCAAGCGAGTCTCCCGCCTCAGCCTCCCAAGTAGCTGGGACCACAGGCGCCCGCCACAACGCCCGGCCATTCTTTGGTTGCAGCCATCATTGTTGTTTGGCGGGCCCAGGCTGGGGATTCGAACACGCCACCTTAGGTGTATATGGCTGGCGCCTCAGCCGCTTGAGCCACAGGCGCCGAGCCAGGAATGCTTTCCTGAGTAGAGATGTGTTCACTCAGTCTTAATTTCAAACAGTATCAAATCGTGTTATTGTAGTCTAAAGGTTTCTAGTCTGCATATGTTACTGCTTATTGAATTCTAGCAGTTGGGCAAGTATAGAATTTGTTTTGTTTCGTCACCTGTTGAAAATATTGAGCAGAAGCTAAATGAATGAGCGGGCTGAGAATAGGTAACTATAGGATGGGGCTGAACTGAAGATGTTTTATCATGAGATGAGAGGAAGCCATGAGGAGGATGGAAATAAGAAAACAATGAGAATGCTTGATTTGGAGGGGACAGGAAGTTTTGCAAGCAAGTATCTTACCTATTTGTAGTGTCTTTGGAGACTTATTTTATTTCAACTCAGAAGGTTTTGGTGTGTTTTTGTTTGGGAGGCATGGAAGAGATGCTATACAAATTAGAATGTACTTTTAAAATGTAAAAATAAAATAGATAAGATTTAAAAGAACCTATACATTTCAAACGTGATGTTCTTAGTAGCATAACCTTAAATATCCCACTCCACAGCTTCCCAAAATGAAACAAAATACATTAATTTGAAACAAAGTAACTGCGTAGCCCACAGTATGGAATAAAGAAGGGGGATGGAAGTTCATTGAACGTGGAAAA